TCAGTTTCATATGAATACAACAGTGGCCCTGAAAACTCAAGAAAAGATATCAAACCAAACGACAAGTAGAACCATTCAGCTTCACAATACAACAAACACACACGATAGGTGATCTTTGCGGCTAGAGAGACTTCTTCAGCACATACATAAATCGGCAATATAACAAACGAACAAAAATATCAAACAAAATCACTAACTGACAATCTCCTACTTAAATTACATTTATGGCAAGTCAACAGAATATCTAATACGTGTGTGGCCACCGGAAATAAATACTCGGCAGGGACAAAGAAAAACATTCGCAGCTACACGAGCCGTGACTCACAGATATTAGATACAAATGTGTTGGATGTTAAGTCCCCTAGCTGAATTGGCGCCCATGAATTGGGAAAAAAGCGAGACTCAGGACCCTGTCAGTAGAGTGGTTAGATTTGATGGTCGGAGACTCAGGGCCCTGTCAATGGAGGGGTTAGATTTGATGGTCGGAGACTCAGGACCCTGTCAGTGGAGTGGTTAGATTTGATGGTCGGAGATTCAGGACCCTGTCAGTGGAGTGATTAGATTTGATGGTCGGAGATTCAGGACCCTGTCAGTGGAGTGGTTAGATTTGATGGTCGGAGACTCAGGACCCTGTCAGTGGAGTGGTTAGATTTGATGGTCGGAGATTCAGGACCCTGTCAGTGGAGTGGTTAGATTTGATGGTCGGAGATTCAGGACCCTGTCAGTGGAGTGGTTAGATTTGATGGTCGGAGATTCAGGACCCTGTCAGTGGAGTGGTTAGTTTTGATGGTCAGAGATTCAGGACCCTGTCAGTGGAGTGGTTAGTTTTGATGGTCGGAGATTCAGGACCCTGTCAGTGGAGTGGTTAGATTTGATGGTCGGAGATTCAGGACCCTGTCAGTGGAGTGGTTAGATTTGATGGTCGGAGACTCAGGACCCTGTCAGTGGAGTGGTTAGATTTGATGACCGTAACCTCCTTGCAAGCACACCTTGGTGATCCTGGGGATTGAAGTTCAACCGCACTGATTTGAGGGCACCGTTCAGAACATCAGAAAGATGTTACCTCCATCTGTCAGCTGGTTCTGTTTAGCCGGCTTATTTCAGCCATACATCCACATATGCTTAACAGCCGTTTAAGTTTAAATATCTCAGAGCAACATTCATTGCAGATCGTGAATTAGACGAAGAAACTAACATCCAAAAGCAGTAAAGCAGGTCAAGTATTGGGACTGCTAGCTCTCCTTCTGAAAGCTTAAGGCAATCACAATCAGCACAAAGAAATATTTCATGCAAAGCATATTCATTCCTACCCTATGATTTCAGTGCCAGACGTGGTCACTCACAAGAAAACATAAAAGAAAATTTTTAACCATGAAAGTGAGGTGTCTGAGAAAGGCTGTAGGAATGACCAGAAGAGATAAAATTAGAAACTAGGTCATTCGAGATAAAGTCGGCACCGAACCAATTCTGAATTACATAAACAAACAGCAAATCAAATGGTGTGCCCACTTGGAGAGAATGCCTTCTGATGCGTCACCATACAAGGCATATACCAAGAGAGGATAGGGACGTAGAGCAAAAGGTAGACCAAGAACAATAAAGGGAAGATAAAATCCAAGAAACTCTACAGCGCCACGATGTGTCAATGATCGCAGCAGCCAGAAGATCACGAAGCGGACCTTTTATCTCCATCGACACCCGAATCTGTAAGAGGACGTAAAGAAGAATATTTCAGCCATGAACTTATTCTGGAACATTCTTTTGAACACGACCTAGTCTTGCCAGCCACAGTCGCCACTTGCTGTGTGATTCGCATGCCTCCCTTTAGGGAAGGACGTAAAAGTGCCAATATCTACTTTATACACTTATCTTGGTGGTTTCTTCTTTATATTTTTATAATGCTTGGGTTTCTTGATCGGTGATTTAGAAGGCAAAAATGTTCTCGTGGATTCAGGACAGTTTTATGAGAGTTAAACAATAGAA